GAGCGCGCCGGCTTCGGTAGTTGCCACACTCGGGCTCAGAAACACAGACTCAGTAGCCGTGACGCACGGGCTTAGTTGCTCTGCGGCGTGTGGGATCTTCCCGGATCAGGGGTCGAACCTGCAACTCTTGCACTGGCAGGCAGATTCTTTACCGGCTGAGCCACCAGGGAAGTCCCAGGCAGATGTTTCTGTCCGGCCATCCCCTCCAGGCCTGACGGGTGGAGAGCAAGATGTCAGCATGGGTGTCTGTGCCATGCTTCCTCTTCACCCTGCTCCCCATCCTTCACCAGGTGGAAGGGGCAGGCGGTCACACAGGGCAGGGCTTTCCCGTCACACCCGGAGGTCTTTGTAGTATCAAACCTGGCACATCTGGTTCTTACTTTGTTGATGACAGGCTAAAGGGTGTAAAAAATCTTTCTGTTTGAGTCAAACCTGGCTATCCAGACTGCTGGCTTGCTGCGGGGGCTTGTCAATCCTGTTTCGGGGTCAAGGGCTGAATGCTGACTTCTTTCTGTTTTTTCACCTCCTCATTTCAGACACACTGCCACTGCACTGCCCTGTTTTCTTCAGAGCAAACTGATTACCATCTGAAATTCTCCGCTTTCTGTCTCTTCTCATTAGGCTCACATGGTAGGGACTTCGCTCACCTTGTCCAGCAAGTGTCTCCATCACTTAAAACAGTGTCTGGCACATAGAAAGTGCTCAATAAGTATGTGTGGAGTGAATGTATAATGCTTAAAGAATTTGACAAGCATGTTTTCAATATATACCAACTAAAAAAAAAGAAAAATCCCAAATTTACCAACATTTTAGGGACAGGGCAGGTGGAAGAAAATGAAAAGCCTGCAAAGGAACAAGGAGCAAACGCTCAGGAAAGGGGCTCCCAGGACCCCAGCAGGTAAAGCAAGAAGGGCTGGACGGGGGCAGGGGCTCAGCGGAGTTCTCTGATGCCTTGGAGGAGAGGTGGCCTCAGGCCAGGTCAGACAGCAGAGGGTCGAGCAGTAAATGAGAGGCAGAGTGTGCAAAGAGTGAGAGGAGATAATTCTGGGGAGCTTGACTCTGTGGAGAAAGAAGAGGATGGAGCAGGAGCTTAAGGCTATGCGGGATTGAAAGAAAGCCTTTTTTTTTTTTTCAGTTCATCTTTTTTTTAGGGCAGCTTGAACATGTTTTGTCAGCTGAGAGTTGAAGGATCCAGAGAAGAGAGGGCTTTCCTGATTTTTTCTGCACTGTGTGTCATCTTTTCCTTTGAATGCCCACCTTGTCCTTCTCTTGTAGCAGGCACTTATAACTGCTCAACTGGAGATGACGCTCGAGAAGGCAGACCTTTCTATCTGGTACACAAGTGTAGCCTGAATGGGCCAGATCCCCTCTGTCAGACTGCGCGTCCTCCAACTCCCACGCTCGCCCAGGGCCAGACTCAGGGCTTCACCACATGCCCCATCACAGAAACCACCCAGCACTCTGGCCAGTAACACAGATGGGAAGGTGGACGAGACGGCTGACTCACATCACACAGGAAACCTTAACCAAAACTCTCTAAATAGAAGTCTGTGTTTGAAAGTCTTTTAAGTTCTCCCAAGTCTTTCTCAAAGGCCATGCTGCCTGGGGCTCATCTGTCCTCCTCTAAAGATGACAAAGTTCCTCTGGATGGCCCCAAGCAACTGGACAGGTCAGAACTTGCACAGGTCAGAACTGGGACTGCCTTTGTTCCTTAAGGATGCTGCTTGGAGATCTCAGTTTATCTTATGGTCACCAGAAGACATATTATGTCTCTAATACACACTGAATGCCAGTAGTTTGGATTTAAAAAAAATGTACAAGTGGGTCAAGCTTTTATTTTGCTTTCCAAAAATGCCTTGTCTTTTCTCAGCATCAACCTGTCTCCTTCCTTTTTCCTGGACTGTGTCTTCTCCCCAGAATCCGCCTAGGGAAGGCTCTCGGGCCTAGATACATCCTGATGGAGAAAGGACTTCCCAGGGGAGGCTTCTCCACCTGCTTAGACTTCCTTCACTGCCCTGCTCCACTCATCCACCCAGCCAGCACTGTTAGGGACGCACTGTGTTGTATTTGTACCCATGTTGAAATACAGGGACAGTGCTGTATTTCAAAGATTGCTCTACAGACCACGTGTAGCAGAATCAGCCAGGGTGCTTCCATAGGCAGGTATCTGGGCCTGATACCCACCGAGTCATCATCTCTGGGGATGGGCAGATGTCCATAAATGTTTGAGAAAGTGGCTGTACACTGTGCCAGGTCTGATCTGAATGCGTCTCCTTCCAATAACATTTTGTGGTCTTTAATATATCTACCCCCAACCCCGCACAGATTTTCAGGCATTTGGACCAGGACTAACCCTACCAAGGATCCTGGTCCCTGCAGCTCCCGTGTCCTCTCCTTCTGCCCGGCCTGTACCACCTCCCTTCTCCTCCCACTGTAGCATTCAGCCATCCTCCCCATCAGTTCAAGTCCCACTCGTGCTTGGAACCATTTGATCGGCATTGTTCCCAAAGCACACGCTTTTCTTCCTTGTTTGTTTCATGATTTGCTGTTATTGTTCAGTCGCTCAGTCATGTCCAACTCTTTGTGACCCCATGGACTGCAGCAGGCCAGGCTTCCCTGTCTTCCACTATCTCCCGGAGTTTGCTCAAACCCACGTCCATTGAGTCGGTGATGCCATCAAACCATCTCATCCTCCATCGTCCCCTTCTCCTCCTGCCTTCAATCTTTCCCAGCATCAGGGTCTTTTCCAATGAGCTCGCTCTTCTCATCAGGTGGCCAAAGTATTGGAGCTTCAGCTTCAGCATCAGTCCTTCCATTGAGTATTCGGGCTTGATTTCCTTTAGGATTGACTTGTTTGATCTCCTTGATCTCCAAGGAACTCTCAAGAGTCTTCTCGAGAACCACAGTAAAAAAGCATCAGTTCTTTGCAAATGTTCAATATTTACTGAGCACATGAACCTTAGAGAGATGGCAAGCTTCTAAGAAGGACTGGGCCATGGTTCTTTTTTTCTCAGAGCAGCTAGCAAAGCAGTGCTAGCTGGGTGGGTGAGTGGAGCAGGGCAGTAAAGGAAGTCTAAGCAGGTGGAAAAGCCCCTTGGGAAGTCTTTTCTCCATCAGGATGTGTCCAGGCCCAAGAGCCTTCCCTGGGCGGATTCCAGGGAGAAGACACAGTCCAGGAAAAAGGGAAGAGACAGGTTGACACTGAGAAAAGACAAGGCATTTTTGGAAAGAAAAAGAAAAGCTTGACTCACTTTTATCTTTTTTTTTTTAATCCAACCTTTGGTATTTAAAAATTAGGTTTTGAAGATAACAGATCTAAGAATGGAGTCATCACTGAAAGATGGAGATACAGTACTAAAAATGTTCTGCTTCTCCTCCCACCCACAGATGCAAACAGGCCCTTTGCGGTAACAGATGGAAGGAGAGCAGGGATATAGGAGCAGGGGCTCCACCAAGAGGGCCCACTCAGTGTATTTTCCCTCCTCTGGCCTCAGACCTTACTACTTTAGGAACCAGAAAAGTTTGCTTAAAAAAATATTTTTTTGGATGTGGACCATTTTTTAAAGTCCTTTATTGAATTTGTTACAATATTGCTTCTCTTTTAAGTTTGTTTTCTTGGTAGTGAGGCATGTGAGAAGGCAGGTACATTGGAAGGTGACGTCTTAACCCCTGGACCTCCAGGGTAGTCTCAGAACCAGAAGACTTTTCTTTGCTGGTATTTTATAAAGGACAGGGAAGGCTACTGATAGCTCACAGGTAAGTTCCTAAAAAAGAACCCTTTCTTGTTCCGTGTTTTTTTTTTTTAACTCTTTTGGCCACCCTGCTCAGCATGTGGGATCTTAGCTCCTAATCAGGGATCAAACTCACATCCCTTGCATTGCAAGGCAGACACTTAACCCCTGAACCACCAAGGAAGTCCGCAGAAGAACCCTTTTTAGTTTTCTTTCTACTGTCAGACTTAAAAGCACTGCAGACATAACTACTGCTTCCCTACATGGGCTCCCTCTGACCTCGGTTTTCAAGGTCTCCAAGCATCCCTCCCCATCCAGGTACTTCCCCATCATTGTTCTCCAGGTGAGTTTAGGGAGACCTTTTCTTCATTTTGTAACTTCTAGTTTCTCATTTAGGAAGGTAAGAGTCCTTACTCGACCAACTTAGAACTTCCAACCTCTCTGGAAACCTCTTGAACAAATGCACATTATAAAAGAAGGGGAAAAGTTAAAAACAATAGATAAATGGAGGGCACATGTATGTTGTAGAAGAGAGCCACTAAATACCATGTCTAAAAGACAAATGTCAAGGTCATGGGTCTTGCTCAAGTGTGTTGTACATTCTTGGAAAGCAGTGACTGAAGCACTCAGGAACCGCAAGATCTATCAGTCCTCTCTGGAGCAAAACAGAGCTGTGATCCTACAGTCTGATAAATGTCTTTCTTCCCATCATGGAGCCAGGTTCACATTCCAAAAAAAAGAGAGATGAAAGCAGTGTCATGCCAAAGACGTAGGAATATTTTAATTCACATGTTTTAATTAATAATAATAATATCAGTCTATTTTACAAGTTAAATGTATGAGAATGTATGAAATAGAAACGGTAGGAAAAAACTAAACGTGGGTCAGGAACATGAAGTCTTCCAAAACCAGGGGCCAAAAGAAGATGTGTTGCCTGCAGGGCCCAAGAAGGAGGCAGGGAGGGTGACGGGAACAGCTCGTGGTGTGTGTCTGTCCCCGGGTCTACTCCAGGAAGGAGTTGAGGCATACCCTCTGCCCTGGTCTGGGACTGGGAGTTTACACTCTGGTCAACGGAAGATGGTGGCTTAAGAGAAAAAAGCCATCTGGTTACCTACACAGAGCTGGTCCCCTGGTGGCCGCAGGTGGGTTTTGCCGTAGAAGGAATCAGGGGTGAAAGTGCCAAAAATCAAAGGTGTAGAGGAAAAAAGTAAACAGTTTCCTCCATCCCCCTAAAAAAATGAATTCTTGAAATGCACACACATTCTTCTCTCAAACGTAGAAAAGCTTCACTCTGGATGTGCTTACAAGAAGATCGTCATCAAAAAACTTTGTCTCTATGATAACGTTTCCACTGTAAATAAGAAGAGAGGGCAGAAGAGTGAGCGTGTTAGCAACAGATTTCATTTCCACAAAGTAGTTTCAATCTGGGTCTACTGGGCCTGTGGACATGCACTCACGTATATAACCTTGGCTTGGGGATATTAAGATCACATGGGGTTAGACATCTCACATAACCTTTAATTTACGTGATGAGGTTCATCTTCTTCAAGTTCAGAAATTAGAAGAGGGTGCATGTCTTAACCCACAGTACACCCAAGGCCCTCTGAGTGCTCTGCATGCAGAGGTGCCTATAAAAATGACTTTCTGATTCACATGAAAACCTGAGACTGCAGGGGTGGTATCTTTTCCTATAAAACTCACTCTGGTGGAAGCTGTGGGTTGGCCTGTCCTGCATCTTTCTCCTCACTTTGGGTAACAGCACTCTGTTCTTCTCTTAGGGGAACCACCCTATCTCCAGTCCATGGTCAGTCAAGTGGCCCCTCCCTTACCTGGCAAAGGTGAGGCACAGAATATAATCTGAGCCAATCAGAATCTCTCCCCTGAGCAATATCATTCCCATGGCTGCTCCCTGAGGAATCCATCCATGATTCCTGCCACCTGTATCCTCTGGCTGCTCAGGTCTCAGCCCTACCCTTTCAACTCTGTTCTGTAAGCCAGAGTCAGTTTCTGTGGCTTATGGCTCAATAACCCCAAACGATACACCCGTATTGTACACAGTGTGCAATTTCATTCTTCTTGTGGGTATGTCAGTGTTTCCAAATCAAACTCCTCTTGAACTGAGTTAAAAGCAAGAGTGGTGCTATTTTTGGGTTCTAAAAAGTAAGGCAGAACTTAAATAACCTGAATATATTATCAAAGACTTGCTGGTGTTAGCACCTGAAAGAAATCAGGCCTGGCCAAGAAGAAGTCAAGTAAGGGTTAACGAAATCTAAAAAATGCCCTTCTACCTATGACACTGTACTTTCCCAGGGTAGTTAATATCTACCAGATACATTTTGCTGGTAATTAATTATAAAAAAAATGGGTAAATAAGGAACTCAAGATATGACTGATTAAATATAAATTTATATTATTTTATAATTTATACTATTATATAAAGTTATAGTATTTTATAGTTTATACTATTATGTAAATAAAAATCTATCCAAGACATAAAATAAAAAAAACCTCTATTTACAAATTCAATGTGGTTTTCATAAAGGACCTGTTTAAAGAGGTGATCCAATATCACACAATTATCTATATATGTACATGATTTGCTACTAGGCAGTACTGCGAAAACCTTTAAAAGACTAAAATCTTTTCCCAAGAGAAAATGGTAGATGGGCAGTGACTGACTGATTTGGGGGACAAAGGACAAACTAATTATTCTTTGAGCAGGAAGCAAATTTATAAAAATGGTAAGTGAGTCTCTGAAGAACTACAATCAAACATCCTCTAAAACAGAATTAGGACTTTGCCACATTCTGCTGAGGCTCAAACGAAGTAAAGTATCAGAAGTTTGATAGTCAGGACAGGGAGCAAATTAGCACTGATTTAATTTGTTATGTGCTAGTTTCCTTCCATACGATCTCATTTTATCTTCACTCTACCTCTGTGAGACAGGGTTATTAATTCTCTGTTTAGAGAGAAGAGTAAGGCCCAGAGAAGTAAAGTACATAGCCCAAGATTACACAGCTAGTCAGGGTTAATCAGGAATTTAGTCTAAAGGTCTAGTCTGAAGTTTTTAATTCTTTCCACTCTATCATAATGTCTTTTTCACGTGACTGAAGTCAGAAGCTGTGACCTTGGATACCCTGGATAGTCTTACCCCTGTTCTCAACCTAGGTTGCCTGCCTGCTGAATGGAACCACGAGTCCCATGTGCCTGGACTTGCTGCTTCAAGACACATCCACCGTCCCTGCGGCCCACTCACTCACGTTAGCACACTGGCTGGCATCATCTGGGACTCGGGCGCAGCCTCTATCAGGGACTGCCAGGTGTTTGTTGAGTTAGGGATCACAAAGCCAAACTCGAAGAACCATTCTGAAGGAAGAAGGAAAAATGGGTGAGCTGGCGCCCTGGGCAGAGTCTTGGGGCTCCGTGTCCCCATCCTTTTGAGCAAGCCTCTTCCTACTGCAGGAACCACCAATGAATAGCCATCAGAAACCTCCCAGACCAGAGGCCACGAGAAAGGACATGGAAGCCCCCTTCAGGCTGTGCCCTGAACCACACCAGAGGCCTGTTCCCCATCCTCTGAGATCTAAAGAACTAGGACCAGCAGCATTTTCTTATAAGTAGGCTGGATGTAAACTGTACACAGAGGCACAGAACAGGCCTTTTCACTTGTCACTTCAGATCTAAGACACAGAGTGCACTCTTACACTCGGCGGTGAAGAAAACTCCCTGCAGGGAGCCCCTGCCGGTGGAATCTGTATGTGACAGTATGAAGAGCACCCTGCCAGGGCCTAACCAGCAGCTTCCTCGCGACCCCGTCAGTGACAAAGCCGGCACCACCCCCAGGCCCTCCAGGGTCAGTAATCCTCTCACTGGGCTCAGAGCCCCTCACAGATGCCAGCTTTGTTTCTGCTTTTTGCCCAAGCTCCCGATCTGCCAGGGTATAGGAACCCTATCCAAGCTGAGTTGCAAAATGGATGTTATCAAAGCAGGGCTTTATTTCCCTGAGTCTTGACTTCTGCCTCTGTCACCCTAAGCCCAGATATGAGGCATGTAGGAAGCAGAATACCTTCCAGGCATTGTCCTTTGAAGTAGACTTTTTGTTCCAGGCGGAATTTTTCCATTTGCTCTGCTGAAGAGAAGTTCAGTTCTCGAGACACTGCCTTGCATTTGAGGATTTTCTTGGGAACACGGGCTGGTAAAGAAAAAGAAATTCTGAAACCATTTCTGGGAGCTTCTTAGAGATGATTTAGAGCATATCTTATCTATGCTAACTCTCAGAGAATGCCTCGGTAACAGAATTATACTTTTTAATTAAAGACAGAGGTCCCAAACTGGTCCAATGCATCTGACTGAACGATCTTCAAGCAACACCAGATTTAGTGCACCTAAAGGCCTTGCCCAGCTCCTCTTATCAGGAAGGAGGCTGAATGGGAGCCTTCTTACTAGTCTGTCCTGTGGGTTTTAACCCCTTGATTTTTCTTTTATTTCAGGGAGATAAAAACACAAATTTTCTTTCAGAGAAAAAGTCAAGATCTTACTTTATATCTTACTTTATATCTTTGGGTATGTTCTAATGCTAACATTTCAGCACAGAGTTGGTTTTGGGAAGTAGGAGAAAGAAACAGAAGGAAGGCACTAGAAATCTCAGCATCACGTGGATGGACGTGCTATGCCTGTAGAGGCCTGTCCACTGGTGGTGCTGCGTCAGCTCAGCTCCCTGACGCCCCGGCCCTGCTCTGCGGCGTCAGCCCTGTGCAGGAAAGGGTGGAAAGTACCTTCGTGCTCCACGCCAGGGACTGACAGGTCTTCTGTTCCTTGCCAGAGTATCTTCCCTGTCTCAGCATCCCGAAGGTTCATCCAATTTCTGATCAAGTATATTAAGGAAAAAGAAGACCCTGAAGCTGCCTACTTCGTCCTCCAGGTGTCTCAGATTTGCTCCTATGGACTCCTGTTTACTTCTCAGCAAGCTGGCCTGACCGCTAAGTGCCAAGAAAGCAAATACAAATGTGGAATAGAGTGCAGAAGACATCTAAAGGAAGATGCAGAGACCCAGGGGAGATATTTTTATCTGCAACATGAGAGCTCACAGATGCTACATGTCTAGCAATTGCAAGAAAGAGGTAGAAAATGAACAGTGCAAAATTTAAAATTTTCCAACAGAAACTGACCAGCTGAGATAAAAAGACCTGAAGAAACAGGTATGAGAGAAATCCCAGGACATGACTCATGGAGATCGCCCTACAGTGAAAATCACAGTCCACAAGCCTTACTCACAAATCCAGGCCTCTCAAACAATGCTTTTTTTTTTTTTTGGCTGTGCCACTTAGCTTCTGGGATTTTAGTTCCCTGACTAGGGATTGAACTTGGGCCCAGCAGTGAGAGCGTACAGTCCTAACCACTGCCAAGGAGTTCCCTCAAGTAGCTTTCTTCCCCCCTCACAATCAATATAAAGTCATTTATTTTTAAATTGGCAATAAAATTATCAAGTTTACATTTAAAAAAATGGAATAAAAACCCCTTCACTTTGTATTCCAAATGGTAAGCCCCAAGCCTCAGTCTCAAGAAAGCCAGGGTCTGAGATTTGAACTTGGCTGTCCTCCTTGCTGGAGCCAGGCCCATGACAGACATCATAGCCACAGGCAAAAGGGGGTCCCCTCGGCTCTGCCCAAGTTAAGTAGCTGCTGCAAAGGAAACCAATGGGCTATGTCTGGGATAGGCTGCTCCCCTAGCCTAGAAACCATGAAAGGCAAAACTGAGATATCAATCTGGGAGACTGGCAGCCAGAGACCAGCAGGGAGCCTAAGGGGGTCACATGGGCTCAGCATAGTCTTTACACTTATACATTTTCTAGCTGTTGTTTCCTGCATGACAAGTGGGGAGCCGGGGACAAGGGATCTATCAAGTCCATTAACCTGGGAGCAGGAAGAGCTGCTGGCCTCCTCAAGCTGGGCACAGGACACCCAAAGGTCACGGGGATGATATCAAACTGCTGTGGGATGTTCTCAGGACAAGCCTAGCCTAGGCAGCAAGAGGGGAGAGGCGTCAAGCTTGCCATACTGTCTGTCTGCTATGTAGAAAAACCCAATGGGGACTCACTTAGGCCTCACCCCAACCATCTATGATTCTCTGAGGGCCTGAGCAGAAAATAAGTTTCCCAATGACATGGGAAGATCACATTTCTATTACAATTCATTGCATGTACGCAAATGTCTCTTATCTAATTTTTAGCCTGTGTGCATTCTAAGTCACTTCAGTCATGTTCGACTCTTTGCCACCCTATGGATCTTAGCCTGCCAGGCTCCTTTGTCCATGGAATTCTTCAGGCAATACTGGAGTGGGTTCCCCCTGCCCTCCTCCCAACCCAGGGATCAAAAGTGCATCTCCCGCATCTCCTGCATTGGCAGGCGGGTTCTTTACCACCATTTTGAGGTTATAATATCCTCATTTCCAGTTCCCTACTTCCTGAGAGATACATGCATATATGTATATACATGTCACACATATGATTATAAAAATACATTTGGAACACATAAAATGACTGAATGTTCACAGATGCCTCAGTCTGAAACACCCCGAACCTGAACCTCATCCCTGGTCTAATTTTACATGCCTGGTTATTCTGGGCCTCAAGGCAATGGCTTCACAAACATCACTTTAATACTAAACAGCCCATTCCCAAGACAGAGACACAGAAACAGTGACCCCACATCTCCAGCCTTTACAGATTACTCTCAGGTGGTGCCTCCTTGAGTCAACAAGAAGGAGTACAACATAGACAGAGATGGAAGCTGGCCATTGAGCTGAACACATGAAGAGCTTAACTGAAGGCTGCATTTCAAAGAAGTCAGCTTCCAAGACCAAGATGACCTCTGCCATTCCCTCCTATTGTCAGGTCAGGGACAATAAGCTGTGAGAACTGGGACCCTGCCCCGGGACTGCCCCAGTCCCCTGGGATGAAAGACAAAGTTGAGAGATACTTTTAGAAAGAAAAAAAGACAAAAGGATAGAAAATGAGTGTAAAGATACAAAAACTGGACGCCAGTACAGGCGGTCCAACATCTAGCTAATATAACTTTAAGAACAGAAAAAAACAAGGAGAAGAAGTCATCAAAAAAAAAAAAAAAAAAAAATGAACTCAAGAAAATGTCCCAGATTGAAAAGGTCCAGCAAGGGCTTGAATCACATCACTGTGAACTTGCAGAACATCAAGGTTAAAGACAAGCTTCCAGAAGGAAACTGAGTTGTTACCCAAAAGGTCAAAATCAGAATGCATAAGACTTTTCAACGGGGACTCTGGAGGACAGAAAAAAATGGAGCAGTGCCTTTAAAATTCTTAAATAAATGATTCCTGAAACTAATAAACCTTTACTTTCTCAAGAAACTAATGGTAACATGCTCCTTCAAAGTGACAGGGAAGACCAAGGAAGAGGATGACATGGAATCCAGGAAGCAAGGGATCTAAAAACAAGAAACAGCAGAGGGGTCCTCAGAGTGATGGTGAAGGAAACCCCAAGACAAGAGCTCCTTAGCAGGCCTGGAGGGTGACTGGTCCAGGGTCCAGACAAGAGCAAGCCATAACACTCATGGAGACATTTTAGAAGATGAAATGAAAAACAGCAAAAACAAAAAGATGAAATTCATAGATCATCTGATGTGTTTATATGGAAAGAGGGTTGATTCAATTAGGGGAGGTTTGGGGGTCAAATTAGTGAGAAGTATAGAAAGTTTAAGCAAATTAAAAAAAAACAATTATTAGCATCAGGGAAAAATTAAATGTGGTACTGGAGAAAGGAGTAGTCACAGCATACTACACAGCTTTATCGCAGTGCTCACAAAGTGAGGATAAAAACATAGATCATAGATTCAACACAATTATCCTGGGAGAATGGGGAAAGGAGAAGAGGATGTATGTGTGATTAAGAGTAAAGTATTGAGACAGAACAAAACTCATTTTCATTGTGGAAAGTCGATAAATAATGCTTAAAAGGGAAACACTAAGATATAACCACAGTGCACTATTTGGAAATATCAAGATAAACACCAAATAAATCAGTTAGAAAGAAGTGAAAATAGTTTTCTCTGGGGAGTAGAAAATCGCAATGAAAAAGAGCAATGAAATGCTCTTCGTCTTTAGAAACCAGGTAGAACTATGACTCTACGTGAAGTATACATACAACTCTGATAAAAATAAAGACTAAATTTAAAGATAGTCCCAAGTTTTCTCTTTTTTGTTTTTGTTTTTGTTTTTAAGAACAATGAACAAAGCATTAAAGGAAAAGAAAATTAATATTCTCCATGCATGGCTGAGCCTGAGAAAGATGGTTAATATTTGTCAAGAGACTGAACTTCAGATAAATACAGTTGACAGTTTATATGTCTTTTTTTTTTTTTTCCTCCCGGCTGTCTAGCAACCAAACCTTCTTCCCAACCAGCACCCCGCAGCCTCCTTTCCCCTGTGGGAGGCAGTGAGTGCTCTGCACTATAGCAACTAGAAGATTCAGCTTCTTCTCTACTGGTCACGGTGCAGCTGGGGGCAAGCACATGACCTAGGCTGGGACACCTGGGACCCTGAAGCTGTTGTTACACAAGGATTTGAGGAAAAGCCAGCAGTTCCTCAGGATGTGGCAGCAGGTTGTGCCAACCTGACACTTCCTGCAGTGTGTCCCTTGTTCCTCTGACTGCCAGTCAGTTCTGAAGCAGCAAAGAGCCTCTGAGAGTCTTTTCCATGGGTTGGGTAGCTTGCAGTGCAGAACTCTGAACAACATAGTTGATGAGCATCATTATGTATGGAATGGTTCAACATTTAACCCTCTGGATAGACTCTAAGTTTTGCTGCTCTGTAAAAAAAGGTCACAAAAGAGAACCAAGGGTTATCCAGTAGTGTGCCCTGAGTGTGACTGGTACCTAAACCTCCTGTGCCCTAGACCTGCTTGGGCACTGTCTTCGAACGTGACCCCACCATTGCTTTGAAGTTGTGTTGGTTGTGCTACTCTCCTCTCAGTGTGTGAAATCCTAACAAATTCTGTTGCAAGCTCATTATATCACTTGATACGGTTGCTCTGTTGCACCTATGTGGTTTTCTCACCTCTTTCATATTTCTACATTCCACTTTTTTTTTTTTAGCAACTGAATCTAAAAGCAAGTTAAAAGTATCCACCCTTGCTTAGGCCATATCTTAGAAAGTGGAAATGGTGACAGATTTTCTTTTCTTGGGCTCCAAAATCACAGTGGAAGGTGACTGCAGCCACGGAATTAAAAGATGTTTGCTCCTTGGAAGGAAAGTTATGACAAACCTAGATAGCATATTAAAAAGCAGAGACATCACTTTGCAACAAAGGTCCATAGAGTCAAAGCTATGGTTTTTTCAGTATTTATGTACACGTGTAAGAGTTGGACCATAAAGAAGGCTGAGCATCGAAGAAATGATGCTTTCAAATTGTGGTGCTGGAGAAGACTCTTGCTGTCCCTTGGACAGCAAGGAGATTAAACCAGTCAATCTTAAAGGAAATCAACCCCTGAATGTTCACTGGAAGGACTGATGCTGAAACAAAGAGCTGACTCATTGGAAAAGACCCTGATGCTGGTAAAGAATGAAGGTAGGAGGAGAAGGGGGTGACAGAGGATGAGATGGTTGGATGGCATCACCGACTCAACAGACATGAGTTTGAGCAAACTCCGGGAGATAGTGAAGGACCAGGAAGCCTGGCGTCCATGGGGGTCACAAAGAGTCAGACACAAATTTGGGACTGAACAACAACATACATATATACTTACCCATTCTAGAGTCTCCGTGTATTAAGAGAAAACTTCCCCAACTGGAGAAATAAAACAGGCACTACTGCTCTAGCAAGTCCATGCTAAACT